TTCTCCTTTTCCCTTTTTAACCTGTAAACTGTCAAGTATTTCATTGTGATTCCATGTAGGCATTTAGTTTTACTCCATAAAGTCACTCCACTGATTTATCTGTTTGAAATTGTTTGTGAAAAGAGGCGAAAACATTTCCTGTGCTTGCCCAGTGATAACGATTAGGAGCTGCATATCACTGACAACCCACTCTCACAAGCAATATTCAGGTACGCCATACCCTGCTTTTATCTAACATTGGAGCAAGGGAACCCCTGAACTCTCCCATCTCTGTTGTTACAGGAACATGTGACATATTTTGTATTCAGCAATTTCACATCTGTCCTTGAAATATTTGTGGATGGAACCCATCTGGAACTGGTGGTTTGTAATTTTTTTGTTTGTTAGACTGTAGAACTTCTCTTATCACAACTTTTTTACACATGTGCCCTATATCTTCTGTAGAAAAGACAGATGAAAACAATTCATGTAGATTTCTTTGCCCCCACTGAGCACTCCTTTAATTTTGTGGGAATCAACCCTAGCCAGTTTTCTCTTCCTAATATATTTAAACAGTTATTTATTGTCACTCTTGGTGTCATTAACAACTAACTCATCAAAATCCTTTTTTCTTTTTTTGTTGGTTTTTTTTAAAATCTTATATTATTTGTTGTTGTTGTTGTTGTTGTTGTTGTTTTAATCTTATATTATTTGTTTGTAATTATTTTGTCCATGTTTATATTCCTTTTTGTTTCTCTTGTTTGGGCAAGATTTCAGTTTGTAAAATTAACTTTCTTCCCTCTACTACCTTTCTTGATACTACTTGTTAATCACACTGGTGCCCTCTTCCACATTGTGCTGTGAGCTCTTACTTGTAGTATACGCTGTAGCTGGACCTGGATTGTGATTAACTAACAATCAATTACTCCACAAAGATTTCACCCTTTTCACTTTTCCTTTCATCTTCTCTGCAATAGTTCCTTCCTTTGGGAAAAGGTTTTTCATTCAAAGGCAAAGTGACTGTTACAGTTCCTCTACACATTCCACTTTATATAATGAATTAAACATGGTGCTGTTGCAGCACTGTTCTCTTTTGGTTCCACAACACTCACTAGTTTTGCACTAGGTACTGGATTACACTGGTTTAGATTACATCTAGAAGAGTCACCTCCCTGCAAATGGTTCTGTTCCAGAGTAATTTAGAATATTATGGCTGTAATGACTGGAGCACAGATTTAGATTTCTGTCAGTGTAAGAAAACAGAAGACGCTATTTATGAATTTATATTTATTTATTTGTTTAATTAAAATATTTTTATCCCATCTTTCTCCTTGAAAAGAACCCAAGTCAGCTTGCAAAAATGAAAGATAATATTTAAAGTTGAAAACAATGAGTATAAAACAGTGGTTAACATCATTAGAAGAACAATGACTAAGGAAACAGGCAATATTAATAGGCAATATTAAGGCAAAGATCAATAAGTATACATTTTTTTAAAAAAATGTCACTGAGAAATGGAAAACACAAACATGGAAAACACAAATAGTACTAAACATCCAGTCAAAGCAGTAATGCATAACAATCTACTGTATCTAACAATCTCACACAGGTAGCTGGTTACTAAATAAAGACTTGCCTGAAGAAAAAGGTCTTTGCCTGCTTGCAGAAGGACAGCAAAGATGGAGCCAGTGTGGCCTCCTGTGGGAAGGGAGTTTCAAATTCTGGGAGCAGCAACAGAGAAGGTCCGCTCCTGTGTCCCCATCAGACACACCTATGGAGGTGGCGGGACCAAGAGAAAGGCCTCTCCTGATGATCTTAACACCCAAGCCAGCTCATAATGGGCAATACGGTCTTTGAGATAGCTTGGACCCAGGCCATTTAGGGCTTTATGAATAGACTTTCTTCTCTGGATATTTCTCTGATTTCATTCTCGTCTTAGAATCATCCAGACTATTTTTAGTGAGTGGGATGGTAGCATGTCTTGAGAACTAAGTCACTTTTGGGGCCTGGTATTGTGACGTGCAGTGATTCTATGGATTATTCAGCACACTTTAAGATTTCCTTTTTATCTGACATTACGCGCTCTTCGTTATACAAAGTGATACTACCTTTCTTACTCAGTTCTTGTCAGCTTTCTGACAATGTTAAAAATATTTTTATTTTGTAATGTTAAATGCCAGAAGTATTTTAGGTTAAGGCTACCTCTTTGTATATCCCCAGCTTATCTAAAATGTTCCCCAATGCCTAATAAGCCTAAAGCCCTCCTCTTCATACCATTGTTATTGCAAGGCTTCAACTTTGCCTATGTAGCTTAACTTGGATATAGGACAAGTTACATTTCATTGAAAACTTCCTTGGCTAGCTTTACCATTCATTGAGTTCTTCAAATTGAGTCATGGAACCAAAAACTTTGCACCAGGTTGATGTCTACATGCCCATAATAAACCCACGTGGTCTACAAAATTATAAAGAAACTACCTGAATGTGTTTCTTATGATCAACTCTCTCACAGCCACAAATTAGTATATGTTTGCCCACCAAACTATGGGTCCTTACTCACTCTCTTAAAGAGTGCCGTACTCCTTCTCCAAGAACCGAATTATTTCTGGACTACACAGGAGCAATCATCCTGTGTCTCTGCCTCACTCAGCTTCTCCAGCTCAGCAATCCTGGTTCCAAGGAAATATGTTTCATGTCTCAGGTCTAGGAGATTATTGCACCAATTTTGTGTACCAGGCAGATAACACTATGTGATAGAGCAATAAACTGGCCATCTTCCACCCCCCACTGTTTTGATACATTTTGAGCTAGTTTTCTTTTTCTTTTCTTTTTTCATCATTATTATCATCAGCACACCATCATAGACTTTTAAAACAGTTTATATACCAGGAAGAGGAAGTTACTTACTGGGCACAGTGAGAAAAGGAGAACTGACGTACTCTCTGTCCCCTGTTGCTAAACTTGCACACACTCGTTTGTGGGGTGCTGGTGGTGCTGCTCTTCCTTTTCCTCCTCCTTCTTAAGCCTGGTACAGTGGTGCCTTGCATAGCGAGGTTAATCCGTTCCGGATTAACCCTCGCTATGTGAAAACATCGCTGAACGGATCAAGAAAACCCATTAAACGATGTTTAATGCATTCCAAATGGGCCGAAAACTCACAGTTCAGTGATGTTTTCCTATGGCCGGCAGCCATTTTTGCGCCCTCCCCTCGCTTACCGAGGGTGCGAAAACGCTGCGCGTGGCCATTTTGGGGCTTCCAGCGGCCATTTTGGCGCTGCCGAACAGCTGATCCGCGGGTCACAAAGCGAAGGTCGGTAAGCGTTCGCTTACCGACCTTTGCTATGCAAGTTTCGCCCATTGGGGCCATCGCTTTGCGATCGCAGTTGCGATCAAAAAAACCCCTCGCTATGCGGATTCATCGTTCTACGGTGCGCTCATTAAACGAGGCACCACTGTACTTTGTCACTGGTGCTGAGACACACTACCATCAGAACTCCTAGCTGGTCTGGTTGAAGTGGGCTCCTGCAATAGTCCTGTCTACATTTTATAGTCCTGTCTACATTTCCCTGCAGCCAGCTGGATTAGAAGCTTCAGCTACTAGTCTCCAGTATCCTCTAATCAATGGAAGAGCTAAATTATTAGATCCTGGACATGGGTACTTTATTTCAAGACAGAGGATAATGGACAGGTGTTGAAGAAAAAGATAAACCTCAACAACCTCAAGAGATGTTAAACTCCCCTGGGAATGTAGCTAGCTAAGTCACTATAGATTCAGTGTGTGCTTTATAGACTTACCTTCTGGTATTTAATGCTGCTTATGATTTGTGAACTACATACATTAAATCAGCAGGAGCACTTCTCCTTGCGCAAGTGCATAGCTCATGTGCATACCTCACTACCTTTTAATTTTGGAATGGGAGTCAATGTGTTTCTCCTCTGGGGCTACTTTTCACAATCAGTACCTCCTGCAGAAGGATAATCAGATGAATCCATCCCCTGACATCATGATTTGTGTTATTAGGCCTTGTCACAGTACAGAGCTTGCATCTGAGGGGAATCTCTTCTCTGTATTTGTGTCCCTATTATATGGTGGCTTCTTGATGCTGAATAGCCATTTTAAATTAGGAGGCTTTATGTTAGCAAACTCAGCTTATCCCCCAAGGCCAGTGAGATGGGAAATTCACTGTCCATAATCAGCTGTAGATCACTGATAAGATCTTAGAATGGTTTTAGCTGGGCGCTGTAGATCATAAGCAGTGTTTTGTCACTTTCCCTTCAGGGTCACTCTTGAAGTAGGTTATTTTTAACTGCAAGTTATGGCCTTGTTGGTGTGCTTTTTCATTTCATCAGATATATACTGTACTGTTTAAAAGCTTTTTGTGAATCTTTAAAGTGCAAGACCTGTTTGCAGCTGGAGTAAATGCAATTGTATTAGAAGGCTTGACTGTGGTTCTTGTGATACTCTCCTAGCTGTAGAGTAGAAGTATGTAGATATATTTAGCCTTCAATACATCTGAGTTATATGTATTGGGTTTAATAGTGGATACTGGGACAAAGCGATCATCACATTCTTACTTAGAATATCTATGACTAAAAGTTTATTCCTCATTTTTTGTGAGAATAAAATATATGAGCATGTCAGATGTAAAAGGATGGTGAATTCTGATGTGCACAGGCTTAGATGTTAGCTAAAATAAGCCAGCCTGAAATATCAGGTCCTGTACGGGGTTAGAAGACCATTGGGAAAACATAAACTGCAGCTTTGTGCATAAAATAATAAGTTATCTTTTTCAAGTCTTTATTTTTCATTAAGAAATATTTCTAAACTTGAGACAAAGTCTCAAGACACCAGCATTATTTTTGCAGGCAAACACAACTGCAGGACCAGTTGTTTTAAACTGATTGCAACCGAAGCTGCAGTAGAGTGGTGATCCATCTTGGAGATCCCAAATTAATTCATTTTTTAAAGTTCAGGGCTAGTTGAAGTTTTCTCATGACTTTATTTTTTTTTCTCTTTCTAGGTGATGTCATTGTCTATATTAATGAAGTTTGTGTCCTTGGGCATACTCACGCAGATGTAGTCAAACTCTTCCAGTCTGTTCCCATTGGTCAGAGTGTCAACCTGGTGCTTTGTCGTGGATACCCTCTGCCCTTTGATCCTGAAGATCCTGCCAACAGCTTGGTGCCACCACTTGCAGTCATGGAGAGGCCTCCAGTAGTAGTAAATGGAAGACATAACTATGAAACTTATTTGGAATACATTTCTAGAACTTCTCAGTCTGTTCCAGATGTAACAGATCGGCCACCACATTCCTTGCACTCCATTCCAGCAGATAGTCAGCTTGATAGCACATTCCCACCACCCGCTCATGATGATAATGTTTCAATGGCTTCTTCGGGGGCCACGCAAGCTGAACTCATGACCTTAACCATTGTGAAAGGGGCCCAGGGCTTTGGCTTCACTATAGCAGACAGTCCCACAGGACAGAGAGTGAAGCAAATTCTAGACATTCAGGGGTGCCCTGGTTTATGTGAAGGTGACCTCATTGTTGAGATCAACCAGCAGAATGTACAGAACCTGAGCCATGCAGAAGTAGTGGATATACTTAAAGAATGTCCAGTTGGAAGTGAGACTTCTTTGATTATCCATAGAGGAGGTAAGTCTAGAAAGTCTGCACAATTGCAATAATATGTATGAAAGGATCTAAAATATGTTTGCTATATTACTGTGTGCTAAATGAATGAAAATTCTTCTTCTGGAAAAAAAATGCCAACATAATAAGGCACACAGGGAAGATGTAGTGCTATAGTATAAACCACCCCCCTCTTTCTTATGTTTCAGAACATTAAGCACTCATGAGCATTTTTGTCTCTGTAAGTGGAAATGAAGGTGTTCCTGATTGTTTCAAACCCTATTCGCCAAACTCATCCCATTCCTCTGCATGACATCTATGTATGTAGAATGTTTGGGTTTGCCCAGTGTTGCAGTATTTAAGTATAACTTTCATATGTGGACTGGAAATCTAATGATTACCAGTATGTTAGCTAAAAATCCCTGGTTTCTCCAGAAGCCAAGTTGTTTGTGTTATACATACACATATAAAATTTTTTACAGGTGTTAGACATAGCAGTTGGTTCTAAGAGCATTCTCTGATTTGGAAATTTTAATGTCTGATTCAATCTATTTTAGGAGGTTCGATAACACATTTGATCATGATACCTGTGGCATAAAACATATTATTACTTATATCTATAATCATACATGAACAATTACTCCAGATTAGTTTTAATTAGAAGCTATCCCATGAAATTAAAATTGATGGAGACGTCACCCTAAAAGAAAAGTAATTGTAATACACAGATCTGAGGAAAAGTCTAAATCGGTCCTAAATGAACTGTAGTCATTAAAGTGAATTTCAGCACTTCTATTAAACAATAAATGGTAAAGTGCAGCACATGAAAAAACATACAACCTATTAATTTAAGTAATAAGAGATTAAGCATCCTTACAATATGTTTTTTCATCCAGAGAGAAAAGGTTACTTCCCATCTTGAAACCATTATTATCCAGAGCAAATTGCTGGCATGTTGGGCACATTGTAATGTGTGCAGGCCATGTACTTTAAGCAAAGGCCTTGATTATCCTTACATAGGGTCAACTGTCAGTTCAGTCCTTCCCAATTTCACTCCTACTTCTGGGGAAAGTCAGTGGCTGGGGGAAGATGTCGGCTGAGCAAGACACATGATTAACTTGGAAGAAATTCATTCAATTAACATGAGGATGTAACTATCCGGGGACATGGATGGCTTATTGTGTGGAGAGAGGTTGCTGTTTGACTTCTCAGTGAATCCCACCATGTCCTATTCTGTGAAAAGGGGGGGGAGGGGCAAGACTGAGACCAACTTGAACCAGCTAGCCAAAAACAACAATCAGTGAATAAAAGCCCTGCTAATTTAGATTTGAAAATGATAAAAGGGGGGAATGTATATAAACAAGATCCAGTGCTGGTAGAACAGTGGTGTGCAAGATCCAGAAGAGGGGTGGTTTCCCTTCCCATTACAGCCTCCCAAGCAGCCCGAAAACTACCTCCAGAAAACTGGGAAACCTTCCAGAGTCAATTTTCAACTGGCAAAGAGAGCAAGGGGAAGGGGAGAAAGGAGGAAAAAAATCCATTGCAATCCACTGATGTTGGATTTAGCCCTTTATAAAGAGAAGGCTTGAACAAATACCATCTGATAATCTGAGGTTTAGTTTCACTTTTTGTTTGGTTCTTGTTCCTATATATTGCCAAAACTGGATTCTAAGGCACAGTTGGGTAGATGGGGGGTAAGGATAATTTAGTACTTACTGTATGTCATTGGTGCCGGTGAGGTTTTTTTCTATTAAAAAAAACCCCACTCTATATCTTTGCAAATAACTGCTGAATCATGTCAATAATAAGCAAACTAATCCCATATCTCAGCTGTAAGAATTAATTAAGTCCTGCTGATGTAATGTAAAGAGTTTGTACAGTACCTTGAATATATTTGGTTGACTATGGTAGGATGGCTGCAGCAATCATAATCACTTCCATATTGATCAATAATTTCATTAGGGAAGAGTACCAGTTTGCTTCCATCTGTGATTAATGATCATTTTGGCAGCAGTCAAGAAATGAATAATAATTTCCATATCATATCTTTTATATTTTTCAAAATCAATGTTCACTGTATATTGAATATAGACCATTTCAAGTAGATAAAGGCAGTCTCTTGCCTCACCAAGACATATCTTTTACACTCTGATAATTATGACTTGAACTGTAATTCTGTACAGTATATACTTACCTGAGATTGAATTCACAAGACTTCCTTCTGAGTAGATACATACAGTGTTTTACTCCTAAATTGCAAACTTATGCACTCTTACCTGACAGTACTATTGAATTCAGTGGGGCTTATTTCAAAGTGTGCATTTATCCAACTGCATTGTAAATTTCTTAGACATTATGAGTCATATTTGCTGAATATTATATAAGCTAATTTTTAGATTTAAATATGATTTATTTTCATGGGGGACTGCTCATGTCAAAGAATCATCTGCCATATTTATGCCTAGATCCCTAGTAAGAATTGTCTAGTAAGGATTTTGTAACTTTGTCTTAACAGTCTATAACGCAAATTGATTATCAGAGGAAACAGTAAAGTAATCCTGTGCATTTATTCATTAAATAACTTAGTTTATTTTATTTATGAGTATACAGCAGTGGACGGCTACCAGTAGTAGACAGGCTACCAGCCCAGCAGAGCTTTCCTCCCTTCCCCTATATATACCCTTTGTGTCTCCCAGGCCCTCAGAGAGAGTATGCAGGTAGTTGTTTGCTTCCCAGTTGCGCTGACATCAGCAGACTGATATCATTGTCTAAACTGGAAACTATTCAAATTATGAAAATCTATATTGTTCCTGAATTTTAGCTCTTAGGGTTTTTTGTGATAATTTTGTATCATCCATTCACATATCTATGACCTCTAATAAACCTATCTCCCCCAAATGCTGTATGTTTTTCCAGAAATTTTTATCCTGGAGCTCTTCAGTCTTAAAAGCTGCAGCCGAGGGTGAATGTCCTGGACTTGATTTTCCTTTTAAACCTTTCAAAATCCAGTAGTACATCTTAAGTAATATGATTCATCTTAATGAATCTTTCTTCCTATGCAGCAATATCAGATTTTTAATGAATTACTCCCAGTTATTTTCTTTGCATCCAAATATGCATCTTGGTCATGTGTAGGCAATGTAGGATAACGTTTAAATATAACAGAAATGCTTTGAACTAATAAACTCAGCTTGATTATTTAGAATACCTTTCTCCTCCATATTACACATCCATATTACAAATTCAGAATATGTTGAGTACAGTCTTACCGTTGTGAGGAAAACTGTAGGCACATACACTTAAAATGTAGATGTTTGTATTTTTAGTGGGGACTTTTAGTGGGTGGGGAGTGTTGGGGGATT